CCCACCCCAGGGACATCCATAACACAGTAATCTCGTATGTGGGAAATTAACGTCTCCTACCCCAACCCTGCAGAAGACGGGACCTCCATTTATTAGTCCCAACCCGAGAAGAATAGAATATCTAACCATTTCTTTATGTTATAGAAAGGTAGAAAATTCTTCTCAATTAATTTAAGACCTTGAGTGTTGGTCCGGTCGGGGCTCGAACCCTCGACCTCCCGCACAACAGTCCAGCACTCTATCCATTGAGCTAACCGGGAGGCGGTTATCATATGCTTGGATATTTGTCCGCACACGTTGTCTGCTCCAAGGAGAAAACAAGCGACTTTCTCCTTTCTACCGCAGGAACAGGAAAGCGCTCTCCCATTCTCAGTTAACTTGTTAAAGAACACTTTTGTCTCATTGGGAGCATGGTCTGAAAATTGGGGCATATTCAGTTACATGATGCGCTTAAAGTGATCTCGTGCAAGCTATGGACATATATCATTATAGTAAGAGATATCTGCTGAATTTCTATCATACGCACACTTCCTTGTCATAGATTTCTTTACACGACCCGATTCCTGTGGAAAATTGAGTAATATCATTAATCATAAGGAATTCCAAATTTCGTCTGTTTAAATATTAATCAGTTTATAGCCTGACTAGATTGACCCTGCAATTTTAGAATGCTTCAAATCTTTCAATAAAGGAAAAACTTACGGTATTTTCTCTAAAAGTAATGATTTCCATCCTCTCTTATTAAACAGCTTGTTAAAGGAGTGAACATTTAGGTATCCAAGAAAGAAATTCGCAACAAAATATGTATAGCTATGTTTCAGAGTTAGCCTATCTATTTGCAAAGCTATGAAAGGATCGTTTTGAGCCATCAGAATGATTTTGCATCGATTTGTTCGACCTCAGTGGCATAATAACGATCTTAAGATTCTTAGAATCATTTCATCAATTACATTAAGCCTGTTCGTTTTTAACTAATTTATGGTGGATGGAATGAACTAAATTGGAGCAGCTTTAAATCACACAGTTTTGTAACAAAAAAGTGTTTACCGTGGCATTCTTGCCCATTCCCAGTGAATCCAGGTTTACATGCACAGTTGTAGGATCCATTGGTATTGTTACAAAAAGCGTTAGGATTGCATGTGTGTAACCCTTTCACACACTCATCGATGTCTGAAAAAAGACAAGAAAAACAACAACACAACAGCAACATAAAAAGAGTTGTGAGTTTCTGTATTGGAAGTTGGAGGGTTAAGTTTTTGGTTTGCACGTTTTGAAAGAGATTGCTGTATCTAGCAGTGAGAGTTGAGTCCGCCCATAGAGCTCAGTGTCAGCCGGTAAATTATGATTTTTGTTAATCAAATACCTAGTTGATTTCATGTACTCAAAACGTTCAAAACACTGATTGAAACAGAAGTGTATGATTTGTTCACGGTTTGCCATGTACTTCTATCTCAATGCGTTTAGGATCACTCTACCGCATTCCACCTTGTTATCAGAAATTAAAGTTTTAGTTCTACCGTGGGAGACCCGCTTAGCTTAATTTTGCCCAAAAATAAACGTTTACCGTTGCATTCTTTCCCGTTTCCGCTGAATCCAGGTTTACATGTGCAGTCGTAGGAACCTTTGGTATTTTTGCAAAAGGTATTGGGACTGCACTTGTGTAAGCCGTTTACACACTCATCGATGTCTGAAAACAAACAAAAAACAGACAAAAAAGAAAACGAAGAACACAAACAGATAACTGTGTTTGTTAGCCTGCATTACATGTTGATGATGTTTTGTTCGGAGGACTTGACCTTTTTTGCTGACAAAAGTAATGTATTCCCGGGGGCAGTAAGTAGTCCGTCCAACACAAACAGAATTATAACATAACCAAAGTAAAGCTCGCGCTCTGATTGGTCAATTTAGCGTCCCCCATTTGCCCATGGGTGTACGCTGCTGACGTGAGCAAATGCAAAGACTATTTTTGCGCGCGCGCTTGTTTTTTTCTGGTCACGTAAGATTTGTGAAATAAAAGGGAACTCTTTAGCTACAATGTATCAATGTTATGTTATAAAACAAATGGTAAACACCACAGCGTACACTATTGAGTTATGGATGCACTTGGGAGGTTTGCTAAGCACTCAAGAAGCTAGAGTCGCTCTCGGCTATCGCCTCGAGCGACTCTTACGCTTCTTTCGTGCTTAGCAACCTCCCACGTGCATCCATAACTCAATAGTGTACGCTGTGGTGTTTACCATTTGTTTTATAACATAACATTGATACATTGTAGCTAAAGAGTTCCCTTTTATTTAACAAATCTTACGTGACCAGAAAAAAACAAGCGCGCGCGNCTTGGCCTTTTCCAGAAAATCCAGGTTTACATGTACAATCGTAAGAACCTTTCGTATTGTTGCAAAATGCATGAGGGCTGCATTTGTGTGAACCTTGAACACACTCATTGATGTCTGAAAATTAAATTCGGATAAACGAATCAAGGAAAAGAAAATGAAATTACCTGACAATCAGACAAACAACAACATCAATAACAATAAAAGTGCTAGTGAGTAGGCTTTTCTACATATTGATAATTTTATGGTAAATTTAGAGCTTTTTCCTCATGATCAGTACAGGTCCATTTGCCGGTACCGAGTAACGGAATTGTATACGACGTGTATCGATCGGCCGATCCATCTGTCACAGACAGTAATAGCTTACTGATCTGCAAGGTTTTGAAGCCACAGGTTCGTAATTTGTTTGTGGTCGGCTCAACTAGTGTTTTCCGAAGAAAAAGAAAAAAATTGAAAAGTGAATTAAGTGAAAGAAGATGACGAGAAGAAATGATGAGGGATGACAAAATTGCCATTAGTGCGTTTCGTTGTTGGAGAGACCACGGGGAAGATTTGCTGTCAACTGCATTTTACTGTATATATTTTAAGTGGGGAAGGTGTTACTAAATCAGAGGGAGAATGAATTATGTTGTTTCTTGTCATGGAAAACCATATTGACTCTATGATATTGAAACTTAGCAAAGCCATTGGATTACTGTCTAAGATAAGACATTTTGTTCCCTTCCATACTCTTCTTAGTATATACAACTGCCTTGTTGTTCCTTATTTACGATACAGTTTAATTGCATGGGGACAAGCTGGCAAAACTCAAGTAAATAAGCTTTTGATCCTCCAAAAACGTGCTCTCCGTTTCATATGTTTTGCTGACAGGTATGATCAGCGCATTGCTCTGTTCCTTTGTGCAAAGACTTTGCCTATTCCCTTTTTGTATTATAAATTACTGGCTGAGACAATGAATGATGTAAATAATGATCTTATTCCTTCACAATTGAAGGATTTGTTTATCCCTACCGCAAAAATTCATCCATATAATACGCGATCCTCAGCTTCCAACAACTTTTATATTAAAAAATCAAAACTTGAAATTGAACGAAAATCGTTTTCAAGAATCGGTGCAAAAATGTGGAATGAGATACCAACTAAGCTCCGAACACTATCAAAACCCATCTTTAAATGGAGAATTCGTACAGTTTTGTTCAATTTATTAGAATTTGAAGACTCCTACGAAGACTTAGAATAGATAATCTCTAAAGTTAGTAAATACTCTTAGTAGCTATCAACTTTGTCTCGCCCATCCTTCCTTATCTATTTTATCTTATGTCAGTATTCACCTCTCACAACATAATGCGCTGCCAACTTGAATTAATCACATAGCTGTTTCCGTGGACTTAATTTGTTTTCGTATTTACCATCTATTTATTTATCTGTAGTTTTTACTTTGTGTATTTTCCTCTTCTTTTACTGATTATCTTGGCCCGCCTCGATTAGCACTGCTATCTGCGGAGCCAGGGAATAAGGATTTATTGTCAAATAACAAATAAAATATTGTATCGTATTGTATTGTATTGTATTGTATTGTATTGTATTGTATTCTTAACAAACCCTCAGCAGCAAGCCGTAAACCCTTTCATTGTGATTGTAAGAAATGTCGGATTCAAGAGATCACCGTAGCAGTTTTTCTCACCTAAGTGGCATATGGAACCCTCAAATCCAGAGGGACACAGACAGCAATAACCTTTCTCTGTAAATCCGCTCTGACACTTGGCGTTGTTCTTGCAAGGACTTTGCACACAATTGCTCTGATACGAAAGGAAAAACGTTGTCATCATCATTATCATTATCATTCTCCTCCATTTCATCATCCTTATCTAAGTCACCGTCATCTTATTCGCCGTCTTTGTCGTCGTCATAAATGTTAACTTTGGATGACTCTTTGATTACTCTGGCAATTTCTTTAAAAATCAGTGTTAATTCTTCTAAGTCCATTCCTAAAAAGCGTAAGTTATGGCTTATGCGAGAAATGTTTAATTGATTTTTAAAGGCACTTCGAAAATGACAAACCCCCCTGAACAAAAGGACCATAGAACAAAGATTCAAATATCAACGTGCGTGTAAATACGCAGAGGTACAAAACAATGAACGAAACCATAGTTAATGCAGA